GAAAACCCCTGAAATGATGTTACACTGGCATATACAGTTGACTTAACTGAGAAGAACTTGAAACTGAGTGATTTTTTATGAGATGGGAGAATTTAAGACAACTATAATAGTCCATTTTTATTTTCAGTTGGTGTCATTTGCCTTCAGTGGTGTCACATAGTTCTTCCATTAAATCGCTGTTCCCTGCTGCTCTTGGCTTTTTCATTATGTGATACTTCCTGTAAATCAACAATTATCACAGTGGCTATATGTGTATCAGCTCAGTTACTTTTAATTATAGCATGTAAGCAGCTAATTGACATTGTTATTTTATATTACATTATATAAAAAAGAAAGAAAAAGAGAGAGAGAGAGAGAACAAAGCCAAAAGTGCAGAAAAGAAAGAAGGAAAATATAAAGAAGTCACTTCCATGTTCTTTACAGCAGTCATAAGTATAAATATAGATTTTCCTCTTGCTCTATGGTTACATCATGATTTTCATTTTTTTCTATAATCTATTTTTTTTAATCATCAGAACCATAAGTCGTAAGTTCATCTTTTTCTGTTTCATGCAAAAAGTCTATACAGGGTTTCCAGTCAACCATAAACTTAGATAATGTCTTTTCTGTGATCAGTGATGTCAGTTTGGCCATCTCTGCAAGTTCCATTATCTTCACCATCCATTCCTCCATTGTAGGTAATATCAAATCTTTCCACCTTTGTGCATATAATAATCTCGCTGCAGTTATCATGTATAAAAATAAAGTTCCATGACTTTTTTCCAACTGTTATCAGTCAATCCCAAAAGAAATCCTCTGGTTTCAATTGTACATCAGTTTTTAAAATCTTCTAAATTAGTATATGTATTTGAATCCAAAACTTTCTGGCTTTTTTACATGTCTATCAAGCATGGTAAAAAGCCCCTTCTTGTTGTTCAAATTTCTAACATAAATTCAAGTACCTTTATACATTCTAGACAGTTTCTCCAGACAGTGATGTATACCAATGATACATCATTTTATAAAAATTCTCTTTAAGATTATAACATAGTGTAAATTTCAATCCTTTCAATCACATATTCTCCCATTGTTCCATCTGAAGATTATAATCAAAGTTTTTAGCCCACTTCATCATACATTCTTTCGTTTGTTCTTTTTCTGTTTCAAATTTCAATAAAAGTTTATACATTTTAGCAATAACATATTCATCATTTGTACACAATTCTATTTCAAACTCAGTCTTACATTGATCAAAACCAAAAATTATTTTATCTACCTTAAATCTTTCTGATAATTGCACATAAATAAACCATTGACAAGTGTATCCTTCTGCCAGCAAATCTTCTCTTGACTTTATTTTACATTCCCCTTGACAAAATTCTATTATGTCACCATAAGTTTGCCATTTGTGTTTACTTATCATTTCTCTTCTGTAATATACTTCTTGTGCTGACAGCCATAAAAGTATTTTCAGGCACAACCTGGATTTGTATCTATTCTATGGCATGTTTAACAAAATGTTTTTTAAAATCTACATTAACCTTAGCTTTGTCATACCATAAGTATCCATAAGCGACTCAAATCTCAGGTCACATCCTTCTAACTCCAAATGGCTTCTGTAACATCCATTCTTTTATCCAAACCAAAAAGCAAGCTACAAAGTATAATTTCAGATCAGGTAAGCCTAAACCTCCTCTTTCTTTTACATCTTATGACACGTTATATTTAACTTGTGTTTTTTTTCCTGCCACACAAATTTAAATATATCCTTTGCCACTGTTTAAGTGGTACATCAGTTGTTAAAACAGGGATTGTCTGAAACAAAAATAACATTCTGGGTAAAATATTCATCTTAATCACAGAAATTCTCCCCAGCAATGACAATTGGATTTGCTCCCACCTTAACATATCTTTCTTAACTTCATTCCATGTCTAACATAATTATTTTGAAATAATGTACAATTCACATTTGTCATAGTAATATCCAAATATTTTACCTTCTCGATCTTAAAACCAGTTTTATTCATTGATTCTGTTTGATCTTGTATGTTCATATTTTTATTAGCATCTTTGTCTTCTGTTTCTTAATCTTAAAACCTGCTAATGCACCAAATTCTTTTAGCTTTCCCATTAGTATTTCAATTCCCTTTAAAGGATCTTCCAAAATCAACACCAAGTCATCTGCAAAGGCTCTTAACTTGTAAGTCATATTCTCGTTATCTTTTGATTTACTTCCTCGCTGCTGTCTTTAGCGACATGTATTTGTCTCAAACCATATGGTCAGAGTCCTGTTGTGGGAAAGCAGTTCCAGTCAAGATGCAGCTTACAGTCAATTAGCAAAGTGTTTGATAGAATGAAAAATTAGCATTTTGTAGCTCTTTTTGATTTATTGTTGTAGTGAATACCTATCTTTTCCTCAAGATGTCAGGATAATATTCTCCCACAAACTGTTTAATCCTAACAACCATTTGTTGTGTTAGACTAATAGAAATGGCAATCTATTCAAGTTGACCCAGCAAAGTTCATGACTAAGAAGTATCTATAAAAGTTAAAGTCTGCAGGCATGGAAATGGCTCTCCTCCAGGGGGTTGAATCCTTCAGTCATGTATTAGATGCTTTATCATCTCCATCTGTAAGAGCCATTAGCTTGCTAGTGATGTAAATATATACATATATCCTTGGGCAAGATAATCGATCTCCAGGATTGGCCCATTTGTCTGGGTACCTGAGTCTCCCACTCATTTTGTCTTTAATCCACTTGTCTCAGGTGAGACAAATTGAGCAGGTTAAAGCAAATGGAGTTTCAAAAGGTAAAGGTTCACATTAGTCTACAGCTTTGTTTTTATGGATAACCCAAACATAAAAGAGAATAGACTGCTCAAAAGCAGATGTGTGAAGTGGGAATCCTTTTGACGTCAATTCACATTTTATTTTACTTCCATATTTTCGTCTGTCTTCCTGGCTGAAGAAGGCAGAATGGCTTCTGACTCTGCATTGCTTTGATTTCTCAGGTTATCTGTCCGTGTCCACCCATGAGCTTGTATTTGAATTTCAGTGGGAGGCAGCCTGTTTATTTACATGCAGTGTCTTTCTTTATCTGGAATTTGAGTCTGAAAAAGAATTTGACTAAAATTGAAAGGAATCTGTGCAGGTTTAAGAAACCCATTCTCTTTTTTCCCATAATAATTCAACATTTTCCCCAAAATAGCCTTGCCATTACCAAAAAAAATGCTGCATATGATATAGTATACCTAAGGATATACTTAGTAAAAGAATTATATAAAAGAATTGATTGACTGAAGCCGTGATAGGTGATAGAGGTGAATATTTTTGGTCTTATTTAGTGACAACCATGCCATATGGAAGGTCACAACTTGGATTGTAGAAAAAAAGTGATGGATGGATGTACAGACAGACCAAACAAGAAATGCTTTCTGTCTGTGAAAATAATAGAAAGGGGGATGACCTGAATGACAATGACAATATGATCATATAGATAGAGTTAAGGAATATACATGCAGGGTATAGATTTAATTATGAATGAAACAGCTAAAATATATATCAGAAAAAACAAACTGTTGTCTAGGTTATCTATGTTGTTGTGGGCATATGAAAGTGAGGAATAGGTGATAGTTGCATGTTAAATGCAAGGGAATAGTGATAATAGCCAGAAATTTGTTTTAGGAAATGAATGAATGATTAAGTCTGGGGGGAAAATTATTCTGCTAGGTGAGATGAATGGATAGGTGAGAATGAGACAAGAGAGTACAGAAAAAGTGGCTGGGCCATTCAGAGACCTAAGCATGAATGACAATGGGGACTGGTGATCTTTGAAGAATATTTGTTTTGAAATATGTGGTTTAAACATAAAAATTAGTTTAAAAGTATGTTTGTTTTGATTGTTTATGTTGAAAGACTGAGATAATGTAGAATACAATGTTGATGAGAGTTTCTGAACATAGAAGAGATCATTTTGGGGAACATCAAATGCATATCTTAGGAAAAACTAGATATGGATGAAAAGTGAATAAAAGAAACAAGAGAGAAAGTGAAATGACTGCAGGAGAATATACAGGTTGTATATGAACAAGTATTAGAATATATATTAATATCCCAAGAGAATTAATAGAAACTAAGCATAAAAAAAGGTGTAGACATAAGCACCTCCACCCTCAAATAAATCCTATAATAGCTGGAGAATTAATTTGGTGAAATAGGCTATAGCTAATTTAAAACAACAAAGTTTAAATTATGGTTTATTGTTTATTTATTTATATATCACATTTATATAGCCGCCCATCTCACCTAAAGTGACTCTGGGTGATGTTATTGTTTGTTTGTTTATTTATTTTTGTTTATTTATTATTGTTATGTATTTTAATGATAACAGTTCTGGGAGTATTTACTCAGATTCTAAGCATCACTTAATATGCTAATAACTTTTACTAGCTGTGAGCCCTATATAAAGAAATTGCCTAGAGTCACAAGTTGTAACTTTGAAAGTCCTCAAGGGAAAAAAAAAGTAAATATTGGTCAAGAATGTGTAAGGAATTATCTAACTCCTAAATGAGGTAACTATGCCTCATTCTACTCTGCTGAATTAAATCTGCATTCACAGATTAATTAACCATACATCTGGTTAGTTAATTAATCCATTTTCTGAGATCACACAATGTACCGAACTATAAACTAACCAAATGAACTGGGGTAACATAAGATATTAACACCTGCACAAGAGCAAAACACCTGCACGAGAGGCTCAACACTAATGAGGTTTTGCACTTTGATGATCTGTTATGCATATTGTACAAATAGCATTAGAGAAGTGTATTTGCTAAACTGCCCTTAGTGGATGCATGTTAGAGGTTCGAACGAGGGGGAGGTCTGTTCTGCCACATCTGCTTTTACAGTTCAGCAGCTATTTTAAGTTTTAACCGGGAACATCTAGAGGAATAATTCAGGGATTTTGCTTGTTTTGAACTTAGGTACGCCTTCTAACGTGCCAGTAGAGAAAGTCAAAACATTTGCTCAACGTGAGGCAGAGTGTGGAATACCACCTAACAAAAGAGCAAGGCGAAAACTCATGGCGTCTCCTCTGACCGTCCAAAGTCCTCAGCGTTCCAGCCAATCAAGTTCTAACCACATGGTGGATTCTCTCAGCAAAGCCTTCCACCCCATTATGTATACACCCGAGCTCTGCAAGAAGCCAGTGGACCCTCTCTGTACAGAAACTGTGATTAAACAAGCACTGCATACGACAACCCTTGAAGAAATGAAGAGTCACATGATACAAATTCAGGAACCATTAAAGCAGAGCAGCCCCAAAGATGTTACATATAACGTCACCCCGGAGTGCCACATGAGCTCAACTGTTCTTCTTTTTAAAAATAACATAGACAGTATAAACTATCCTTTTGATGCATGCAGAAGCAAGTCAGAGGCAGCCAACAGCAGAAGTGTTTTACAAAGGTATTTTGTATAGAAGATGAAATGTAAATGTCTTTACTTTGTTTTCATCTCCATCCCTCCCTTTTTTTTTAATCTGCAACCATAAACTCTTTCCTTTAATTTGACATTAGATCTGCCTCAATTAGTATTCTAGTGTACGAATAGTAAACTCAGGAAATAGATCTAAAATATCTGAAATTCCTACCTTATTGAACAGTTAGGCTTGGCTTTGGAACAGAGATCCTCTTACCCTTTAAGATATAAACCATGATCACAAACTCTGTCCAAACTTTGACAGGCACATGAAAAAGGATCTGAGGGCAAAAGCAGTTCTTTCCATTATGAAAGAAGATACAGATCCTTCAAGGAAATGTATGAGGACTGTTGCAACTAGGACAAGGACATGAGATTTGCTCATGAGATTAAACTATTTGGATTAGCATAACATTCCTCTTAAAAAGGAATTGAAATCCAATGGTGTTTGTTTCCTACTGGAACACGTAATGTTATGAAAAGATTTCTTCCCCTTCTGCAAAGCCTAACAATGCACTCCAGAGAACTGGGAAATCCTTGTGTTGAATGTGCAAAGAAATGGAACAAAAATTCCGCTGTACTTGATTCAGGTTGAACTGGATCAGAAGCTTCCCAGTTTGACTCTGAGTCAGAATCTGAAGCAAGAATCAGTCTTCAGAAGTTCTATGTCTTCTGTATCGTGGGAGAGCAAAAAATGACTATATATATATATATATATACACATACACACACACACACACACATACTCATTGCCAGAATAATAATATAATATTTCTTAGTATAATAATAATAATACAAAGACCCTGCAAATAGAAACAGAATGACTGTGGCAAAAGAAAGCAAAGATAGTACCAATAGTAATAGGCGCCTGGGGTGCAATCCCAAAACATCTGGAGGAACACTTGAATACCATCAGCACTGACAAAATCACCATCAGTCAATTGCAAAAGGCAGCTTTACATGGAACAGCTTCCATCCTGCAACAATACCTTTAACATTATTGAACAACATCTGCCTATCCCAGATCCTTGGGAAGGACTCAATAAGTGGACAAAAATGCCAAATCCAGGCAGGGAGCCATGGTCACATGACCACCATTTGTGACCTTCCCTGCCAGCTTCCCACAAGCAAAGTCAATGGGGAAGCTGACAGGGAAGGTTGCAGGTCCTACACACCCAACCACATGCAGCCTGCACTGGGCCTTCCATGACTCACGTGTGGCCTGTGCTGGTCCTCCCAGGCCCTTCTCCAGCCCATGCTCCTCACCTGGGACTCCCACCTCTTCCCGCTTAACGACCCACATATCTTGGGGTTATGACAGCAAACCAGGACTGCCCAGTATTGGCGTTGCTAAGCCATGCAGTCACATGACATCAGACTTTACAACTGCATGGCTTAGTGACAGCAGGCCCTGTCCCAATTGCCATCATAACCCGAGGACTACCTGTATCAGGAAGAAACACTATATTAATTAGGAAAAAAGCACCCTGCAAAGTGTTCCACACCAAAAGCAAACTCTAAAATATCTCTAAAAGCAAACTCTAACCAAACACCAAAAGCAAACTCTAAAAGCAAACTCTTAAGAAGCTGTGGCTGAAATACAACAAAGATGATATAAAACTTAACATCTTTCCCCATGAAGTGTGACTGGAGAGCTTCTGAAGAACTATGCCTATAATTAGTAGTTCAGTTAAGTTGATATATGGAAAACTAAAAGCAAAACTGAAAATTGGGAAGGGTGGACTTTACGTTCTTTCCTCTGGTTGGTCTAGTGGAAATAGAAATTCTATTGCCATACAGAATCACATTCACAATCCAAAGTGAATTGGATTGGCTCAATTCAGCATAGGATTAGGCCAAATCTGATTGATATGGCCATTAACAAAGCACTAAATAGAGTCTGATCAATATAGGTAATAATAAAATAATGTTATATGTGGGAGAAAACCCCTTAAATGTAATTGTAATGCAAAAGGGCAAATCCTGTGCTAGCGACTGAACACTTACTGTAGTTTTATAATGCCTTTGCAGAAATAGAAGGTTTGATTGGCTGTAACATTTCAAAATGTATAGTGGAGTTACGGCAGGTCCTACTTTACTGTTTTCACTAGAGTCCATTCATACTTGCATTTCTCCTGGGCATGCCCTAGACTGCTACCCAGAGAGGGCAAAGTGAACAAAAGAGGCTGCTCTCTCCTTGCTCCTGTCATTGAATAACTACAGAAAAAAGGAAGAGCAGCAGCAAAGCCAAAATATTTCAAATGGGCGATGACTGGACCTTTGTCAATTGTTCAACCATGCCAAATTCTGACACTCACCACGTGCAAGTTTACATCCTGATTGTGTGAAACATGTCATGTGCTGATGCTACGTTTTTTGCCCTGGCAATTCTGCTGCTGGCTCTAATGCCAAACTGGCAATTTCCAAGGCAGATCTAAGAAAGCAGTCCCATGCTGGAAGGATCGAAATAAACAAAGCTTGATTGAGAGAATTACACTTCTGGCTCTGAATTTAGCAAACAAATGGAAGAAACATCCCTGTCCTCCCTCCTTCCATTGACTCAAAGACAGTTTGTAGTCTATTTCTGGCCTTTACAAGACATTCACAGTGGTGAATGAGGAATTTTTGGAGTGGCCCATGTTGGACAAAATCTATTCCTTAGGTTAAATTAGTTCCATTGACTCAAAGACAGTTTGTAGTCTATTTCTGGCCTTTACAAGACATTCACAGTGGTGAATGAGGAATTTTTGGAGTGGCCCATAATCTATTCCTTAGGTTAAATTAGGGTTTACCTAAAGAATGCATTATGAAATCGTCTGATAAAAAATTACTTAAGGGTTGAAGCTAGTACTTACAGAGTTTTAAAATCTAAAGCAAATACTGTATATTAAATTTCCATATCCTACTTTATTTTGGAAAAATTGTTTTAGAATGCAGGGCTTTTAGAATGGGATTTTTGGTGATGACTATTATTATTAATTTCAGACTTGGCCTTCCTTCGTTGTTAAATAGGCAGCCGGGGCCCATACATGCAAAGCCGTCTTATATGGCAATGACATCTGCTGCTGCAAGAAAAAGGAAGTTGTTAAGGTAGGTAATGCTTCAAGTCAATTTGCTAAATTATTGCCGAAATTGGTGTTTACTCTGTCCAGTATCTTCCACTGGATCACAAATTAGGATCAAGAGGGAAGGTTATTTGTGATCCAATGGAAGAGGAAGTCCTCTGGCACAATTTTGGCCATTCAGTAATTAGTCTTAATTTACCGAATGGCCAGAATTGTGCCTGAGAATGAAAGTTCACTGGCTGACTTTGGACCAATCACTGTCTCTTAGCCCAGCCTATCCCATATGTACTGTTGTGGGAAAAAATAGGAAGGAGTGTAATGTATATTGTCTTAATATGTTTTTAGTTTTCATGTTATTTAACATCAAGAAACCTGCCATTCTCTAAGTCTTTGGGGATTCTAGGTGCGGCCTATACAACTAGCTTTGTATGGTTTAATATTGAGTTAGCATTTGTACTGAACCCTTTTGTAAGGGTTCCAGGGTACTTGCCTTTTGTCAAAAGTCCCACCCCACCTTTACCTCAAACATGGTTAGTGTTTTGTGGTTACATTTTAATATGTCAAATAAATTGGTGCTGTCTAAAACAAATTTGACAGGTTAATTAGTATTGATTTGACTATCATGTAGAATAAAATTTAATGCAATTAAGGCCACATTCCTATGCATATTTATTTTGGACCAAGTGGTATGGAAATGGGTGATAATTACTCCTTGGCAAACATATGTAGCAAAGGGATGCAATTAACAGTTTCTAAAATATTCATATGCATACTTTGTTTTTTCCATAACTTCTTATCTGCAAAATTTTGCTGTGACACTGTTTCTTGTTGTTATTAATACTTTACCAGATTGGTTACAGTTCTGTGTATTCCTATTAGAATGAATATTTAGAAAAGGAAAATAAACTCCCCCAAATTAAGTTGAATTATACTTATTTTGCTATTCCTAGGAGAGATGGAGACAAAATAGGCACAGTCTGCACAAGCTCCTTTGCAGACTTTGGCCTCCTGTTTTCAGAAATTCAAGAGAGTTTCCTGTAACCTATATTATCCGTGTTCCCAAATACCTTTGGGTGGGGGAGCATTCCTTGGAGCTTCTCAAAAGTGTGCCACCAAATTTCAGTGCCCAGCTTTGTAATACAGGTAGTCCTCGCTTAATGACCACAATTGTGACCGACAACTTCATCACTAAGCTACATGGTCATTAAGTGAAACATCAGGTGACCACAACAGGCTTACGGCCTCACTTTCCACCACAATCATTAAGTCAATCACTCACGGTCATTAAGCGAGACATCACATAACTGTGACTTGCAGTTTTACTGCCGGCTTCTCCATTGACTGCTTGTTGGAAGCTGGGTATGAAACGTGCAAATGGCAATCAAGTGACCACAGGATGCTGCAATGGTCATAATGCCTGCCGATTGCATAGTCCAAATCTTGATCACATGACCGCAGGGATGCTGTGACAGTTGTAAGTGCAATGACCAGTTGTAAAGTTACTTTTTCAGCACTGTCATAACTTTAAACTGTCACTAAACAGGGCAGTCATTAAGCAAGGACTACCTGTAATAGCACAGCTTCTTGCTGGCTTTTTGATGGAGACAAGAAGAAACACTTCTGATAGGTTTGGCATGCTTAGAAAAAATTAAAATTCCCCCTCAAACCTCCCCCAAATGGAAAGAAATAGATGTTCATTTATCTGAAAGGAAGACAACCCTGAATTTAAGATAATATCTTCCCAAAGACTGGTAGGTAGGTAGATGGATAGATGGATACTGTAGATAAATAATCCTGCGCAATGTCCAGTTTCCCAACTTAGTCAAACTAAAGTTGCCAACTCTAGCTGAAACCAATCCACCATGCAATCCTCCCCATATGCCTAGTAAATGTGTGCATGTGATCCCACTTATACATACCATAGCACTATATTAAAGTGCTATGATCGTCCAGAGTAGCTTCAAGAGGCATAGCTTTCATCATGATTTGTTGAATGTTCCAGCAACAAGGAAATACATGTACTCTAAAGAGCCAATACAGAATTCTGGCTGAACACTATTGTGCCTAAAAACAAACTGTTTTATTTTGTCTTTTCCTCAGTTCTGTATCTAGCAGCGGATTAACAAACCAGCAAGATCATGTGACTGCCAAACGCATAAGACAAGATGCTGTATTAAGTAATAAACCACAAAGAGTACCTACAACGTCCGGTAAGTGTAAAATTTATAATTTGCAATAATAAGTGTCAAAATGTAAGCAACATACAGCTACACAGAAAGCCCAAAATTATAGGCTGACATTTTCAGTTAGTCATTTCTATAGTCTTTTGCTATGGTAACGCAGTCACACAATTTTTTGATAGTTTAGCCTCTAAAACAAGGACAAACACCAATTCACTGAAAGCCCCTCAATAAGGAGGCAGATACTAAAACAAACAGAAGTGCGTGTTAATGTCTTTGTATGGAATTTAGTGTTGTATTTATCTATTTGTTTGTTTAATCAATTTATATAGATCATATCTCAACAACTGACTGGGCAGCGAACAGTATTAAAAAAAATTTAAAAATTACATTACAAAAATTAAAATACACAGCTGCCAAGAAAAATACAACAATCATTAGCATTACCAGGAGACAGGACCCTTCACACCCTCGGCCCCAGGCCTGGGCAAAGAATGAGGTCTTTAGGGCCTTGCAAAGGCCAGCAGGGTCAAAGCCAACCTAATCTTTGGAGGGAGAATATTCTAGAGGCCAGAGGCAATGGCACTCCTGCTGGGCCCCTCCAGCCAGCATTCCTTAGCTGACAGAACCTGAAGCATGTCCATCCTGCCAGACCATATTGGATGAGTAGAAACATCTGGGGAGAGATAGCCTCTTAAGTAATCTTTTAAGATAGCCCAGTGAAAGCATCAGCTGGGTATATCGCTGATTTTAAGGGGGGAAAGGAAGAGGAAGAGGTGGCAACAAATCCATAGTAAGAAAGAAGTTGAAATAAAATTGTAACTTTTTAAAAATTTGCCCATATATTTATTGGGAATGGTTGCAACATACTTATTTGCTCACTTCATGTAAGAGGAAATTAAAGGCAGGTATAAAGACTTACATATATTTAGGAGAGCTAAATGGAATTACATTACACCTAATTCAGGCATGGTATTTACTTTCCAAAGAACATAGTGATGGCCACCATACACAGGTAAAAATGGGATTTCACAAAACCAAGGAATGATCAGTGACTACTAATCATGAGGGCTGTAGATATGTGTCTCTGAATAGCCTTTGCTGAGAAACAGCAACAGGGACATCTGGTGTGCTTGTGGACTTCCAAGATGCATCTGGTTGGCCGTTATGTGAAGAAAAAATGAATAGCTAAATCCTTTCCGAGCTTTCTTCTCTTGCTTTTAGTATCCTTGCACTTCTGAAACTATTAATCACATGGGGGGGGGGGGGGAGGCGCATATAAATAAAACAGTGGAGATCTGGTACTATTAACTGCCGTTCTTCAGTTACTGCTGAATTACTGCTCTCCTTATGGAATTCATTTGATGAAGTGTTGCATGTAGTCTCTCCCATGCTCATAGAAACTGAATACAGCATTATCAGAGCCCCACACAATGCTATCTTCATGCTGTTAATTATCTGTACTAAATATTAGATAACAAAGGGCACCAGCATCAGTTACTGTAGTTGTATTGTTAAAGAATCATGCAATTGAATGATTAATGCAGAAGCTGCAGCACATCAGACATGCTTAGAATTGTAAGAAGCATCAATATTTTGGGATGGGTACTTGTGCCTCTCCTCTGTAAGAGGCAGTAAAGATGTACCGTAGGAAATAACCCTTGAAAATCTGGCCTCCTGCACAAGCTGTTATTTGTATTTTGTTATTTTTATATCACCATTATATTCAGAGCCCTTAGTCATTCCTTTCAGCAAAATATTCCATTTGCATTCCCTCTGTGTAAAAGAATGAGTGCAGGAGAAGGGAGCCATCAAAGCATAAGAAATCCATTTTTGGAATATAGCATGAGCAGGATATAACATGACTGAAACTTTGTGGCCCAGGCTATTCTTGAATAGAGATGAGCTTCACCCAGAGACATTTGGCATGCTCAGTTTTCAAAATGCTTTAATTCAGAATCTGAATCCTTCTTTTTTTGTTTTGTTTTGTTTTGTTGTATATTTCTTTATTTTTATTATTGTGCATCGCTACAGAAACTGGAATCCATTTATTCAACTGCACATAGTTTTAAAAAGGTTGAACTCTCCTCTAAATGGCCTTTTTTTTTGGCTATGTTTTTTTAATTAATTAATTTGTCATTCTTAGCTCTCTGAATCGCTTATAAAGTAAAACTTTGAGATTTAATAAACAGAGTAGCACAACTGAAAAGCCATCCTCCAGGCATCGCCCATCTCAGCTCCATGGTGTAGGAAATCATAGAATTGGTCATTAGAGGCAGATTTAATGGCTTAATCAATCCTTTAGCTGTTCAGAACTTCGTAATATATTAGTGCAATCATTTAAAGGACTAAGAAGGAAGGAGAAGGAAGTCCTATTTTGCTTCCAAGTAAATACACACAGAGTTACTGTCCAAAACTGAATTGAGCTTGCAAAAACCATGTTGGCATACTCCATGGTTAACCTTGCTAACAATCATGCTGCTGCATTTTGTATCAACTATAGTTTCTCATAGTTTTCAAAGGCAGTTTCTATATCCAGTATATCACAGTTGTCAGAATGAGATCCTACTAAGTCACAGGTACTCTACCTCATAAAGAGGAGGATGAAACAGTGGTAATAATCATACAGTAAACCATTGTTTTTGCAATCTCAGTTCAGATGACTTGGAATGTAATGGGCAAAATCTGAATTTTGAATTTTATACAAAGTTTGTAGCTTTTCAAATCACTCTGGACAGTGTTCATACATTTTCTGTATTTTAAATACATTGCATATGTTTTATGCATATATAACATTCTATTTTCCATTTAATAGATTGTCAGCTCTTTTGGACATCTCTTTCTCACTATTACTTTGTTAAATCCAGCTTTATTGTGATTCTGTCCTATTTTATATCTTAAAGTTATAGCTTTCAGTAATCTAATGTATTAAACATATGAATTAAACTACAATTGCATCATTTCTAGCCAACCAGTTAGTTGTAATCCAGCAAAGCTGGAGAGCATCAGGCTAAATAAAGAAGTTTTAACATTTAGGAGATTAATAAAATTGAGTCTTTGTTTTATTAATATGGTTCTGGTGTTTTGTTTTCTTCTCTCTAACATGACTTATTCTTTGTTCCCTAGGAATCAGAACAAGAACCTGGAAGCGTAATGATGGGCTAAGAAAACACCTCAAAAGTAATTTGAAGGAAAATGCATCAATAAACACAAAACTGGGCCCATTAGAAAAAGCATGAATAGTAGCTCTAAAGGGAAAATAAACCTTACTTTGTATGGATTTGATTTATTAACAGAAAGAGAGAAATGAACAATTCCTCTCCTCTCTGCCCCTTTCTCCTTCATCTGTGGTGACTTTTCACTTAGCATTTAGGAAAAAAAATCCATCTTAATTTACAAATATCTTTAATGCCCATATCTGGTGTGGCATTTATCATTCATGCATTCTTAATATGTAATGGAACCTTCACCAGACTTAAGGATTGCTTTGGCAATACTGTTCAGTATCTAGAGGAGTCTGAATAGAATTTTGTATCATTTTGTCTCAACTTGCTGAGTAAGTTACAGGATGTGTTTGCTTTTGCAATCCATGCCAGTGAATGTTTCCCAAACTGAAAGGCTTCCATATGTGCTAGGCTATCATTCCCCACATTCAATTTTGTCTTGGATTATGGGAGTTGTAGTCCAAGACACCTAGAGGTCAAACCATTGGAGAAGGCTGTCTGAGAAGTCTCCTTCACATGTAGATCTGTGTGTTGCATTCAGATTGGATTGTGACTATTGATTCTCATGCCTTTAGATGCTTTTTACCAAAACTTCTGGGCTTATCAATATTTTTTTTCCCAACTTAAAAAAAAATCACCAAATATCTATTCCAATTTATACATTAACATCTTGATGCATAAAGAGGTCATGAATCTTTCCCCCCCCCTTTTTTTTTAACAGTCTGCTGAGAATGTCCAGGATAAGTTCCAGGAAGTATTTTTTAAAAAGAATTTTTTAGCTAATGTTTAGTTTCAAATTTTTTACTTAACTTCCACACCCACTGAAATGTTAAAATATGTCTTTGTATATTTAGTTTTTCTACAGTATCTAGTGTTGTATGTTTTTGTGTAATAGGCTAACTATTGTGAATAAAATTTTCAGTCAAAAATTTCTGGATGTATTTGTAGTTTTTTACATTTAAAAATTAATTAAAATTAAAAAATTAATGCCCTTTAATCTTTATTCAATATATAAAATTTGCTCTGTTCTCCCTGTTACAGAAAAAGTATAACATTCCAATAAAGTGAAATTGGGCAAAGCAATCTTCCTCTTTTGAGGTGTCTTGACCACTTGGTAGCAGCATCCAAGCTTAATCCAGAACCTTTCCTCTCACCAACAATTCAGCACTGTGATGCCCAGCTCAACAATATGCCATTATAGTAATAAAACAGTGAAGATATTGGATAGAATGAAAGTAAAAGGAAGGGCAATAAAAGTAAATTGTGAAACTCAAGTAGGGGGAGAAATTGAATAACAAATTATTTAGAATATTTGCTGAAAAATGAAAATATGACAGTCATATTAAGACTGTTTTTAAGCATCGTGTGCTTTGGTATGAAATACAAAATTCAAAACTCCAGATTTTATTTCAAGGTAGCTCAAATTGAAAAAGAAGTTTGTTTGTTTGTGTGTTTGTTTTAATTATACAACTTGAACAAATTATATGAATTTCCATTGATTAATTTAATTTGTATAGTTAAATCTATTTTTGTAAGTGACATAGAGAAGAAAATAGCTGTATGATTTTCTTCCAGGAGTAGCCAATATGGTGCCATCAATATTCCTGGCCATCTCCATCATTAATTTTGTGAAGAGGCAGGCTCCCCACATGGCTTGCAACTTTGAGTATTTATGTCTTGCTCTCAAAATCCCAAATGTGCCTACTGGCCTCAAACTGTTGCTTTTCTCTGGCTTGTTCAGTTTCTCAGATTTCATCAGTCATCGTCTGTTATGAACACTGCCTGATCCAGTACTATGGCACAGAATGTACATAGGTGTGAACATTTTTGACCAAATTCATCAAATGTGATTTAATAATCATGTGAGTATTGGAAAATCCATAATACTGTATACAAAGCATAAATTAAGTTTGTCACCTTTGAAGAAAAAATGTGCTCCTAAATTGGCACAAAAGCCTCAGTAGCTGGAAGGGTGTCAGCTACTTGATCAGCTACCAAACCTATTTCTGATAATTCTGTATGACAAACAAAATGAATGCTATTTAATATTTAAGATAGATAGATATATCAAGTTGTAAAAAATTTTGTGAAGACTGAACATATTTTGTTACTGATATATTTCACCAATTTTTCACAAGCACTTTGCTTGCTTTACAACACATTCCAGATACTAGCTGGTATGGAAACATCTTTTTAATAACACATTATTTATTTCAATGCCAATATCTCTTTTTCCAGAGAAAGAAGCTCTCTCATCAGACATTTGCAAAGAAAGAAAAGAAATTGGGGTGAATTTGCTAGCTTTACCCCTCTCTATTGCCATTATTGCTATCCTTCATGTGACTTAGAACACTGAATTTTCAGCTTCTAAACCTCCCCCAAAGCATGTACAGATTGGGGAACACTGATTGCAGATAGTGAATACTTACAAGTGGAAGATGACCAAAGCAGTAATGACAGGGGTAGTAGGGCAAGAAAATGTGTCCCTGCTCTACTATGCTTTTGTTTAAAATTACTTTTATCCTGCTGTCCAGATTTGGCAATACAGAGCATTCCACTGGCCATGAGTAGTATAAGGTTACCATTATTAGTTGTCAAACGGCAATGGATGTTTTAGGTTCTAAATTTGTAATAAAATTGATGTGTGCTTTAATTCTCAGAGAAGAGTTTCCACAGAAGGAATGCCATAACAGAAAAGGCCCCCTTCCTAGTTAATACCAAATTAATAAGTGGTTGCACAAACAAAAGGGCCCCTGCCTCCACTTACGAAGGCAGATCTGTATCAAAGAGGGCTTTTTCTCACATTGACTTGGTCCCTTTTGGGCCCCTGTAAGTTAAGGTCCACTAAAAATGAAACTAATCACTTACTGTAACGTGTGTTGGATGCATAATGCAGAAGCAAGAAGCTTTGGAGAAGGCCCTGACGCTTGGCAAATGGAAGGCAATCGAAAAAGAGACTGATAAAGAACAAGATAGTTAAATAACTGGTATCATAAGCATGAGCTTACAAGTACTCAAAGCAGTTACTGACAGACAGTTCTGGCAAACTGTTGTCCATTAGATCACTAACAAAGTAAAGGGCCTTAGAGATAGTTTGCAGATTATTATTGTAATTCAGCATGCTGGCTAGGGAATTCTGGAAGTTGAAGTCCACACATCTTAAAGCTGCCAAGGTTGAGAAACACTGTCTAATTGATTCATGGGTCTCTCTGGTTAAACTATCCCTCCCCAGGAATTATATTTTCACCCATTATTTGAAATGCATAGAGCAACACTGAAAGTCCTGCCTAACGCTGGAAGCTGAAGTCTTCATAATGGTGATGTAACTAAAGAAGCAGGTTAAATATTGTCTCTCTATATATTCATTTGAATATGAGATTGCAGTGCTGAATAGGGAATCCAGCAATGACATACAGTCGTGTGAAAAAGAAAGTACCCTCTCTTTGAGTTCTATGGCTTTACGTATCAGGACATAATAAAAATCATCTGGTCCTTAGCAGTTCTCAAAAGTAGGTAAATGCAACCTCAGATGAACAACAACACATGACATATTACACCATGTCATCATTTATTTTACAAAAAGAGCCAAGATGGAGAAGCCTGTGAAAAATTAAGTACTCCCTTACTGCTTCCATAGGTATGAAGAGGTTAGCAGCAGCCAGGTGCTGCTAATCAAATGATAGAGGTCATCACACTTGCTGATG